AAACAAATAGATCAACTGTTACAGAAAAGGTCATCTCATTGAAACTATGTCTACTGACTACTAAATATCTACTTGAAAGAATGAGGAAGACATTTATGAATTGATAAGGATTAATCACTAATACAAAATTTAAAAGAAGCAAGGTGCAGAATAATGTGAGGTTTTATTAAAGGGAGGAATGGTCACTCTATTCATCCATCCATTTTTCTTTCCCTCCCTCCCTATATAAAACACAAGATATATCATATATATTCTTATATGCAGAGAGTCTTTGGGAGAATAAACAAGAAAGTGGTGGCTGGCTAACTCCAGGGAAGGGGAAGTGGGAGGCTGAGAGCTGGGGATGTGAAGAAGCCATTTTTTAAAGTACACTCATTTGTATTATTTGAATTTCTAATCATGTACACTACCCATTCTAAAATTTTTTAAGTGGTCAAATTATTGGCACTATTATTGTGACAAGCTCTGAATAGTGAAACAACTGAATTATCATTTCAGTAAATATCCATTGAGTGAATGAATGAAATGTGTCCACTTTTTCTGCCAAGTTACCATCAGTATGTACCTTATCTCCTGAACTGAGGGTAGACCGAGTGATAAAATACACAACCAAAAGAGAGATTTCACAAACCACAAATGTTTCTAGGTTACTGGCAGTACAGTAGGAGAAGAGGCAAACTGGCACAGAAAACACTTAAGTCTGTTTCTAAGGTAAGTTTCCATAAACAAAAGCAGACCAAAAAAAGTTAAGTCAAATATGAACAAAAGATTAATGGCTCTCAGCATGGGGCATAATCCAGTGAGAAAGAGATTCACAGAAGCAAAAAGGATTCTAACTCCATAGTTAATTATCTTTGGTAGAAGCTGGTAAGGAAAACATCTTTTGTCAGATCTGTGGTTTCTAAGCTTTTAAATTTTGGTATTATTTCAGTGCCTTGAACTCAGGAATTACCAAAAATCAAAGATGACTATCAATTATTTACCTGTGTAGTAGCAAAAGCAATCTGAAAGGTAGTTTGAAAAAACTGGGAAATGGTTGCTGATTTATACTCTGGAATAGCAATGTTATGATTTTTCTTTTGAAGGTTGGGGCTAGGGTGGGTTGGGGTGGGGCGGAAAGGTGGTTGGGTTCCAGGTGGGGAAGAGATAATGGAGATGTGCATAAAGAAGTAGAAAAATAAAGGAAGTAAGATGGAAAAGAAAAACTCTGAACCGCAAGGCAGATAAAAACCATTAAAAAAAAAAAGACTTAAAAATCACTTTTTTCAGAGATTCAGAAACCATTAACCAAAAGAACAGAAAGTAATTAATAAAGTGAACTTCACATCCGTTTCTTCATGGTGAATATTAAACCAGTGACAAAACTAAGAGGCCTACATCCTAGACACAGACATGCCTGTTTTAAACCTCCGTAAGAAAAAAATCCAAGGTCAAGATTTTCTTCCTGGAACTGAAATCAGGTTGGAGCCAGCTCTATGACAACCTACGTAAGGGCCATTGAAATTTTTCCAAAAGGCTTTCCTTTCCTTGCCTGATCTGCTCGAAGTACAGCCATGTGACTGAAAACACTCAATAGCCAAATTCTACTTAACAGAGACTATCCTTGGGCACAATGGCTATGAGTAAAACAGTCTTTAATCACTGCTTAACCAAGGTGTGGACAAAGCTGCATGTGGTCACTTCTTGGTTACTATGACATTTTGTTACCTGAAAGGGTTTCTTTCTTTTTAATTTCTTAACAAAAAGCCCAAGGTACAACAGCTTTAGTTTAGCTGATTATCTGTACTCAAATTTTTACACTTTAGAAGAAGGCATAGTGGGTTCCACAGAAGAGATTTCAAGTCCCCTTAGTTGCCAAATGACAGGCATATCACACAGCAAAAAAAGTCTACTGCTTGGCTACTAGGATTACTTTAAATGTGAATTCTCAGCTTTCCATCTCTAGGGATTATCAGTTGGTATAATTGAAAAGTCCAGGAAACACACATTTCAAAAAACATGCCAAAAGATTCCAAGACAAATTGCCTAAGAAACACAGTTAGGTGAACACCACTGTCCAGTCTGAGGAATGGTCTTAACTAGTGACTGTGCAACCAAGGAAGAAAAACAAGACTCCTAGAACACTGTAATTCCAAAACTATGTTTTTCTAATGCTTTAATATAAAGAAAGGGCTCTCTCACAGTTGTTGTGGAGAAGTGGATTATGGCCCCTGTATATACAAGGTGTATCTTTTGTACAAATAGGGATGTCCCTTGACCCAAATGTTGATCTCTGAGTACAATGTTTTCCAGACTAGATCAACATGCTAAATAAGGCCATGCTTAGTTCCAATGTTACCTTATAGTAAGGATTCAAGAATGGATAGTACATGAAGATACCTTGTTTTATCGTGTGTCCCAGATACCTTGGCAAGTCTGCATTGATAGGTGCCAGTTTACCAACAGCAAGTGCTTACTGCATCTGAGTCACATTTTGGTAGTTTTTAAACTATTTCAAATTTATTCATTATTGTATGTTATTACTGTGAGCTATGATCAGTGACCTTTTACTACTGTAACTGTTTTGGGGCAATTTGAACAACACCCATATAAGACTGTGAGCTTAATAAATGTGTGCTGAAACTGCTCTACTGACTGATCATCCCCACTTCTCTCCCTTTCTCTTCATCTCTCTGTCCCTGAGACATGATATTGAACTCAAGGCCAATGACCTCTGGAGCAAGTGAAAGAGTCACATGTCTCTAAAAAGCTAGAAATGATCAGGCTACATGAGGGATGCATATCAAAAGCCAAGATAGCTGAAAGTTAAGTCTCTTACACCAAACAATCAAGTTGTGAATGCAAAGGAAAAGTTCTAGAAGAAAATTAGAAGTGCTATTCCAGTGAACACACAAATGATAATGCAGCAAAATTGCACATATAGAGTTAGAGCCTCCCTTATCAAAGCCTAATCCAGAGGGAGGCTCTAACTTCTTCAGTTCTGTGAGGGTTGAGAGAAGTGAGGAAGCAGCAAAAGAAAAAGTCTGAAGCTATCAAAGGTTGATTAATGAGGTTTAAGAAAAGAAGCTGTATCCTAACATAGAAGTATAAGATGAAGCAGCAAGGGCTGATGTAGAAGCTGCATAAAGTTACCAAGAACTTCAAGTTGTGATTACTGATGAAATTAAGGTGGCTATAATGAACACATCTTCAATGGAGATGAAACAGCTCTCTACTGGATAGTGTCACTGCAGACTTTCACAGTTAAGACAACATCTACTGTGGGTAAAATGGTATCAAACAGCATTATATAGACTCATGCCATTTTCAGCTACATGGATGGAGCTGGAAAAGATAATGATAAGCAAAATAAGTCAGAAGGAAAAAGATAAGTATCAGATGGTTTCATTTATATGTGGAATATAAAGAAACCGAACAAAGGATCAGGAAAAAAGAAAACTTGTCAGTTGACCATAGGTCTGTGATTTAGAGTAGGTGAGGGGAAATAAAATAGACAAAACAGGGGCGGGAAGAACATAAGGGACTATGGTGATGGATCACAGGTAAGAACTATGGGGACTACACTTGAGGAGAGAAATCAGAGAGTGTCCCAAAACTGACAACAGTGTAAGAAAAAAGAAAAATGCATTCCATGTTACAGAGATCTTCTATGGAAGGGAAAGCCAATTAACAGCATAAACTTCATTGTTTCATTTTAAAAAATGGCCACAGTCACCCCAACCTTCAGCAACCACCATCCTGATCAGTGGGCAGACATCAACGTTGAAGCAAGATTCTCCACCACCAAAAAGATGACTCACTGAGGGCTCAGATGATAGAATTTTTTAGCAGTGAAGTATATTTTAATTTAGACATGATGCTATTATACTTAACAGACTACAGGTAGTATAAGCATGATTTTACGTCCATTAGGAAACTAAAAACATTTGTGACTTTATTTATTGTGGAGTTTTAAGATAAAAACCACAGTATCTCTCAGGTGAGCCTGTATGTGAATTAGAAGGGGAAGAATAACAAACCCATAATGCTCACAAAACATTTCAAAAACTGTATCATCCCCTTTCATAAACAATTCAGCTGTTCAGAGTAGCAGAGTATAGCAAGACAGAAGAATTAATTTATACAAACACCCTGGATTGCAGAGCAACAGATGGCAGACATTGTCAAGCAATCTCTTGAATTGAGAGAATTCTTGGGTCTAGGCCAACTTTATTTGTGTCAAACCTGCTTAGCAATTTTGGTTCAATGAGGAAAGGAAAGAAACTAGGAGGAGGAAAAGGGGAGGCAGCACCACCTCCATGATGTTCTAGATAGCAATATAAGTGCTGTCTCTGTAAGTTAGAGGGCAGTGTAGTAGCTCTGGAGGGGACAGAGATCAAGGAAAACTGTGAGGGAGTAAGGCAGATGAACCATGCGGTTTGTAGGAAGCAAAAGGCTTTCATATTTTCTTCCTGGTACAAATGCAGTGCACATTAAAGTTTCAAACACATAATCTTGTTTTTGCTGTGTCACTGAGTAAATGAGTAGGGTGTGGGCCTGTTCTAGCTTATAAGACAAAATAATTGAATTTGGGAAACAGGGACAGAAAGGCCTATTCTAGTCAATTATGTCATTCTACAATTCCTTTTAAAATCAACTCTCCAAATCTTTTTCCAGAAATAGTATCACCTGCATAATTTAATATAAGAATAAGAAATGCTTTTCTACAACTGAACCAATAAACTAATTTATTTCAAAACCACATAGGGTATGACTTTAGGATTTCAATTAAAAAGAAAAAACAAAAAAAAAAAAAATAGATGCATGAACAAAATGTTTCCTACTGTCCAAAACTCAGCTATTCTTTTTTTCCCTGAGGTGATATTGAGTCCAATTTTCTGAAAAATAGGGTTTTTGCTAGGGGAAAAGTAAACACTATTCTTGTTAATTGAAAAAAAAAACCTTTTTGAATAAATACAAACAACACTTGAAACACACAAAACAAGCAAATGACTTCTTACCTTGCTACCATGTTGAGGTTTAAGGTCATTCTGTTAAAAGAGAAAAGCAGTATTTTAAAACCTTTCCAAATAAACTCTCACTATGTACTCCTTCCAAACCTTGGAACACAGCACTACGTTATGGTGAAAATGAACACCCCAACATACCTTAGGGTACATGGAAAGGTAATGCCCAAGACTTCCATTCCAGACCTGAGTCTATCAAAATTCCTCGTTAGAAGAACATGGTTTTAAAAGTGTACCTAACCACCTTCAGTGAGGAATTTGCAAAAACCACCAAACCACTATCTACTATATAGACGCATTACTCTTTCTAATACAAAGACCAATGAAGCAATAATCCAAAACAAGTTTCCATAGCTTTTCAGATATGTATGTGCTAGTCTGTAAACAAGCAATATCTTAGCACAATAAGGCTAGATGGTTTTGGAGAAAAAAGCCTGATGGCTTGGCTGAATGAATTTTCATTTTAATAATTTATTCCCTATTGTGTTCTATTGCTGTTACATAGTTTCCTCTCCAAAAGTACTCCTAGATCAGTTATTCTTACCGGATGCACATCCCCAATATAGTACTGCTTGAGCATTTCTCTGGCATCAGAGGAGTGGCCTACATCTTCAAAGCTTTCACTTGCATCTGCGCCAGCTTGTTCCAGCAGAACCTCTTCTCCACCAGGATGCTACAAAGGAAAAGAGGTATTTACTGAAAAGAGGTATTTGCTCTCTGAAGAGCAACCAGTAAGTTACTTTCCCATACCCTATCCTTTCTCTCTCTCTCTCCTTTTTTTTTTTTTTTTAAAGATTTATTTATTTGTGCATACAGAACTGGGGTACAGGCCAGAGGCTCAGGGGCGGTGAGAGGCTTCACCAGAGACAGAGCGGGGAGCAGAACAGGCAGATCGACAAAGTACACTGCTGAGGGGAGCAGCGGGCGGGTCAGGAGAGGTCTGCCATGCCATGTGGTCACCTCCGGGGCAGGCGGGAATCGAACTCATGCTGAAGTAGCCTTAGCCTCTCAGTGCTGTGCTTTAACCCGCTGCGCCACCAGGGAGGGCCTTTTTTTGCCTTTTAATGGGATTAGTAGAACAAAACTGACATATGTCTCCTGATTGGATGCCATGTAAAGAAAATGACATAAGGGCCCTCCCTGGTGGTGCAGCAGTTTAGGACGCAGCACTGCAAGCTGGCTGCAGGCCCCGGAGGTGACCCATATGGCGCAGCAGACCTCTCCTGTCTTGCCTGCTGCTTCCCTCAGCAGTGTATTTTGTTGATCTGCCTTTTCTGCTCCCCACTCTGTCACTGGTGCATCCTCTCACTGCCCCTGCACCTCTGGCCTGTACGCCAGTTCTGTATGCATAAGTTAATAAAGCTTAAAAATTAGTAAATAAAACATGAATTGTAAAAACAAAGAAAGTGAGATTTTGGGCCTCCCTGTGGTGTGGGGGTTAAAGTCCCAGTGCTATCAAGTTATAACAAATCACTATGATGTGAGTTTGACCCCAGCCAGGGAGCCGACCCACATGGCATAGCATGCCTCCTCTGCTGCTCCCCTCGGCAGCATATTTCAGTCAGTCTGCTTGCTCTGCTTCCCATTCTGTCTCTGGTGAATGTTCTCAAACCATGCACCTCTGACCTACACCCCAGTTTTCATATGCATAGGTAAATTAAAAAAAAAAAAAAAACTGAGATGTTTTTCTTATTTGTAAAATGAGATAAACAGATGAGGTATTTTACACTAAAAAACAGAATGGTACAATATATACAGTATATTATCACCCATGATTTTAAAAAGCAGATATATGCATGCATGTAAATAAAATTTTGCTGGGAATACTGGAGAACCTGGTAATTGAATCAGGATAGAAGGAAAAAATTTTCATTGCATGCCCTTTTGAAGTTATTTTACCAAGTAAAACATTACCTACTCAAAAAATTATTTTTGAGGTTGTATTTAGCAGTCCTTAACACTCACATTTACTTACACAATAGCAAATTTAGAATTTATATTATTCAACATACCTAGATTCGTTATTTTTGAAATAGCAAATAATGCTTTTTATAATAGTGACTTTTGTAATATCCTTTTTGTTTTTTCCAAGGGGGAGAAAAAAGCTGAAATAATATGATCACCCTTCTTTCAAAGACAAATCAAGTGAAACACAAAAGTTCTATATGTAACTTCCAGTTGCCTATAAGCTCCCTGAACCAAAGGAAAATGTACTAGTATCCCCTTAAAGATCTCTATCTAGTGAGGGAGTCTCTTATCCTAGTATGTAAGCATGTGATTTTAAAGTAAGAATAAAGAAGACACCCCTCATTTCTTCCTACATTTGAAACCTCTTTCCTGTGTTACACCATTTGTTTTGGAATGAAGTGCCAATTTGATCTCTGCAGTCAAACTATGGAATGCATTTTTTTCCATATGACATATCCCAACTATTATGCTGCCTTTCAGAGTGAAAGAATAACAAACCTTAGCAGCAGGAGGAATGTCAGAGAATGGTTGAATTTATGACTTTCAACACAGCTCTTACTACAACTACAAATTACTTTCACTGTCACCAATCTCTCACCACAAATAAATAAAAAGAGAAAGCACAATATTTAAAACTTCTTTTCACTGTGGCAAATTTGGAAAAGACAAGAATAAAGAATCAAACATAGTCCCATAATATACTGTTGACATTTTTATGCCTAAAATTCCATTGTTTTTCCTTGTTAATATTACTAAAACCATTAAGTTCTACAGTACTTACTACTTTATGTTCTAGATAGTGATAAATTTTTGTTTCTACAAAAGTAAATTCATACAGTATACTTTTATAGTCTTCTTTTTCCCTCACTGAGGCAAGGGTGCATTAAAAAAAAAAGCCTAGGTTTAACAGCTCTCATTCAAAAATGCTCTTAATAAAACTAGCATACATAACATAAAATGAAGACATTCAGCAGGGGAGAAGGAATAAAACTGGGGTGGAAAGAGCAAAAGAGACTAAGGTGATGGTCTAAGTGGTGGGAATTTTATGGAGATTACACCTGAGAAAGCAAACTATATGAAAATGAACAATGATGTAACACACACAGACACACACACACACGAAAAAAAAAAGTAGTCTTAAAACAGATGATTTAGAACAAGCAAAATGATTTCTGGGACCCCCTAGCTTCTGTTTTAGAACTCTATAAACTTTAGGCAATATTATTTAAAGTCAAGAGGCACCCCAGGTGGAGGCAGTGCCCTGGGTCTGAGACTAAGGTGGAATCCTGTCAGTTTAAAGCCAAGATAATTAGCTCAGGGGTAAGGGCAGAAGGAGTGACCCAGGCTAGGCTGGCTCTCAGTAAAGACAGGCAGGAGCTGCTATTCAACTCCAACTTTAGTCTATGGACAGTCTTGTCCATTTTTATCATTATCATCTCTGCAGGAATGATCCACCACTACTTATCCACCCTGTTGCAGTAACAAGAAGCATATTCAGGAACAAGGAGCTGACAGTTAACTCCTAATATGAAGCACAATCTTCAGGGAAAACTGGAAATTAATTGTATTCTCTAATAGTCTTTGACTTGAGAATAATACTTCAAACACCCAGAGGAAGCATTAAAAAATATATATATATATACATATATAGTGAATAGTATCACCTTCTACTATGAGTGATTCCACTACACTCTAGACATAATGAAAGGGAACGTGTAACAACCTCCTTTATATTCTTACTGGGGGATCAATCAACATGACATTCTCAGATGCTATTTCAACCAAAGTCCTATTTCCAACAACCCTGTTTTAAGCCTAGATAACAGCAAGGAATTGATATCAGCTACATCTTGGTGAATTCTGCCTCCTGGCACTTCCTTTATGTATGTGGGTTTTCAGGGCGTGTACTCTCTGATTCTGGGCCCAAGTAATGGCAATTGCCAATCAAATGATGCAAGAGCAGATGACTGCAGTAGTCATGGCCACACCCAAAGATACCAAAAGAGCTTTCAAGACCAAGTAGAAAGTTCTGGAGCTAACATCACCAGAAGATACTAGACAATGGCACAAAGACTTTCATATAGCCAAAGACTATCACTTTGAAGGCATGTTGAAAAAGAAATAGAAACTTGTATTTTTTGAAGACCAAGCAGGGACAAGCTGTGACAGGGTCTCAAAGTAACCCTTAACCTTGTAATTTTCATTTGATCTGGAGTTCCTCAGAATACAAAGGAGAATTTCTGAATTGATGGATCATTCTTATTAGAACCAGGTTCCCCTTTGTCTGAAACTAGAGAAAATGAAGAGTGGGTGCTGGGAGACTTACAAGAGCTACTTTTTTAATATTTAAATTTTTTTCCCCTTGATGACTACAGAAATGAAAGAGAAAGGGGAAAAGTCAAGCTGCCAATAACCTATAAAAACTTAGCAAAATTCAGTCTTTGGAAGAAACATTGCCAACTGTAACTAATTATCATGTGCAAACAGCCTGGCTTCTAACCAAAGTAAATTCCTGTTTTCTTAGCACCAAAACTCCCTGCATGTTTGCCTTAAATACTAGTATTTAAATACTAAAATACTAAATATAAAATATTATATACTATATAAAATACTAAATACTAAAATATTAGTATTTTAATAAATTCCTTTGTAAAATATTTTTAATACCAAAAATCAGAAATTAGTGGTGAACAAAACATATCTCCCTATATTGTTCTTTTTGAATTTCTGCAGAATGACATAAAGGTCCCAGGTGTTAAAACTTTATTTAAATAAACTTCTTCAGAGTGAATACTCAGGACCAGGACAGACTTAACAAATTTTCTATATCTCATACTGTTCTCCAGGTGAATCTGGGAGACTGTAAGATACTGCTGGATTCTCAAGTACATTCAGGATGACCAAAGATGGGTTAAATTCAGAATACTCAAAGCTACTAAGAAAAAAATTCAAGGATTCTGCCACTCAACTGAGCTAAAGACCCAGTTATTCTAAATAAAAGAGTTACAAACCATTATATGAAGGGAGAAAGGGTAATTGCTAGCAGATACATAAAGGTTGCGCAGGAATAATTGTCTGGATTAAATGTCCCAGGGAAGTAAATGGCAAGGTGCCATTTCTTTATCAGATGCAAACATAATTTGCATGTTGAGTACCATAATCAGAACAAATGACTCTAGACGCTACTAAGTAAACCATCCTGTTTTCTCTTTAATTAAAAGACAAATCAAATGGAAGTAAAATTGGGAAAGTCAGAATAAAGCCTGTGGATTCAATGAATGCTAATATGCCAGCTGTGATACTATACCAGTTTTGCAAAATGTTATCCCTGGGGGAAATGGGAAAAAGGTACAAGGAATCTATTACATTTTAACAGCTACATATGAAGCTGTCTTTTTTTTTAAAAGTCATTAAAAGGCCCTCCCTGGTGGCGCAGTGGGTTAAAGCACAGCACTAAGAATCTAAAGCCACTTCCTCAAGAGTTCAATTCCCCCGCCTGCCCCGGAGGTGGCGCGGCAGATCTCTCCTGATCCGCCCGCTACTCCCCTCAGCAGTGTACCTCATCGATCTGCCTGTTCTGACCCCCCACTCTGTCTCTGGTGAAGCCTCTCACCGCCCCTGAGCCTCTGGCCTGTACCCCAGTTCTGTATGCACAAATAAATAAATCTTAAAAAAAAAAAGTCATTAAAAAATTAAAACAGGGCC